AAATTAAACAATAAGATAACAAATAACCCAATCAACAAATGGGCCAAGGACCTGAACAGACACTTCTCAGAGGAGGACATACAATCAATCAACAAATACATGAAAAAATGCTCACCATCTCTAGCAGTCAGATTTCCATTTTGTATTAGTCTCCTTGTGCTGCCATAAGAAAATAGTCAAGACTAGGAGCTCTGAACAGCGGGTATTTATTTTCTCACAGTTCTGGAGACTGGAAGTCCCAAGATCTGCTGTGAGGAAACTAGAGACTCATGAAAGCTGATGTGTAAGATCTTGTCTGAGTCAGAAGTTCTCAAATTAGGAGAATCTTGTAAGTTCCAATCCAAGGACAGAAAAAAAAAATAAAGTCCCTTCTTAGTCTTTATGTCTATCTAGATCATTGATTGATTGATTGATTGAATGAGACCCAGCCACATTAGGGAAAAGAATCTGATTTACTCAGTCTACCAATTCAAATATTAATCCCATCCAGATACACCCTTACAGAAATGCCCAGAATAATATCTGACCAAATGTCTGGGTACCCCACGGCTCACTCATTTTTACATATACTTTATAGACATTCCCAGAATAATATCAGACCAAATGTCTGGGTAGCTCATGGCTCAATCAATTTTACATATAAAATTAACTATTATAACATGTGATATCCATGCTTCTTATTCTAGAAAGTGGGGTAATAATAAAATGAACCTCATAGAGTTGCTTTGAAGAGTAAACCTTTAATGCTTATATATAAAGCACTTGGCAGCATCTAGACCACAGTAAGGATTCGATATATGGTGGCCATTATTAATTATTATTATCACTGGATTGTCCACATCACTAAACAGCAAAACTATGGGGAAAGTTAGAATTTTCATAAATGAGTTATACTTACCCATGATTAGTCATAATGCTGTAATGTCAGGAGTCTTAGTCTTGAACATATGAACCCCAGTATGTCCTGCCGTTCCACCTATGGAGACTAAACATCCTTTCTGGACTTCTGTGTAATATAGTGAGTAATATTACCTGTAATAGAAGTACCTTCTAACTTGTTAAAAATACAGATGCTCATGCTCCACATAAAAAATAGTTATGGTAACACTAGTGGGCTAAGAAGCTCAGGTATCTGCATTTTTAACAAGAGCCTCAGAGACCTGCCCTGATGGCACTTAGAACATGCTAATGATTCATTATTTCCCTCCCTTAGTTTTAGTAAACGCACAGAAACTACTGTGTTTTAATGTTGTTGCCCCACTTAATTTCTGTTAGTATTTTGTTCTTGTCTTCCTCAAGTTGTGTTGTACTCCTTCAGGGTGGGGCTTAAGCCATTTTCTACTTTGGTTGATGCTTGTGGTCTGGGGCCTCCTCACCCCAAGCTGTTTACTGCTACTGCACACATCATCTGCTTGCTGCCCTCGACTGCAACAGACAGCCCTGCCGACTCCCTCCTGATTTATCCTGTATTGTATTACTTTCCCCCCACCCTTCTTGGTGATTTAAGGAACTGTTTTTATTGTTTCTAGAGCCAACACATCTGTCATATATTTCCCTCCAACTTAAAAACATTGGAAAATCACTGGCTACTGAGCACAAAGTTGTGCCTGCACTAGATGAGCATTTCTTTTGCAACTGTCTCTCAATGAGCAAGACTGAGCTTTCTAGGCTTCTGCTCTCTGAGCAGTCAGAATGAGGACCTTGAACCCAGAGGAGATGAAGTAGCCCTCTCAGCTCAGGTTTGTGTATATCATTCCTTAATCTCGTAAATTAAAGTCAACTTTGTGATTTATCCATATTTTATACATCATTATTCTATCTATCAACATAGAAAATAGAGCCATGTCTGGGTGCGGTGGTGCACACCTGTAGTCCCAGTAGCTTGGGAGGCTAAGGCAGGAGTATTATGAGTTCAAAGCCAGCCTCTGCAAAATCTAAGTGCTAAACAACTCAGTGAGATCCTGACTCTAAATAAAATACCAAATAGGGTTGGGGATATGGCTCAGTGGTCAAGTTCCCTGAATTCAATCCTGGGTACCAAAAAGAAAAAAGAATTTAGTTTGGCCTATAATGGTTACTTCTACACTGAACATGTGTAGACTTTTTTTTTGCCTTGTTGTTATTCCCTAAACAATGTATTTTAACAAATGAGATACATGGCATTTATATTGTACTAGGTATTATAAGCAATCTAGAGGTTATTCAAAGAATATGGAAATAATTGATAACATGGACTTCATTAAAATAATAATAATAAGCTGCTCTGTGAGAGACAATGTCAAGAGATTAAAAAGACAAAGACTGGAAGAAAATGATTTCATCACACATCTGATAAAGGATTGTAAATAAGGAACTCTCAAAATTCTACAATAAGAAAATTAATAATCTGATTTTAAAAATGGGTAATGTATTGAACAGACACCTTACTAAAGATATACACAAATGTCAATCAAACATACAAAAAGATTTCTATTAGATAATTGCAAATTAAATTGTCATGAGACAATTTCAAATTAAAACATCAATGAGATACTACTGCATGCATATTAGAAAGGTCAAAATCCAAAACACTGATGACACCAAATGATGACAAGGACATGCAGTATCAGGAATGCTCCTTTCTCACTATGAATCGGAAGGGTGCAGAATGGTGAGACCACTTTGGAAGACAGATTTGCAGTTTCTCACAAAACTAAACATACTCTTTTCACACAATCCAGCAATCAAACACAGTGTTATTTACCCAAATAAATCTCAAGCTTATATCCATTAGAAATCCTGCACACACATTTACAAAGGTCTTATTCATAATTGCCCAAACTTGAAAGCAACCAAGTTGTCCTTCAAGGGGTGAATGGAGGGACAAAACTGATACATTCAGACAATATATTATTCAACATTTAAAAATGAGCTGTAAAGTTTATGAGATTATGTACATAGGTTTTAAGTTAATTTTGCACCATTTATATTAGAAATGAGCATTTGCAGATTTTAATATTTTGGGGGGTCCTGGAATAAATCCCTTACAGATACTGAGGGATATATTAAATATATATATGTATATTCATTTTATATATATATACACACACACACACACACACATACACACACGTATGCACAGGTGTGTGTACACATCTGTGTATATACATACATATATATATATATATATATATATATAAATTTTTTAAAACAGATAAAGAAACCAAGTCTCAAGGTGCTTAAGTAACTTATTTCATTGTACCAGTAATAAGTACTGAGCACAAGTTTATCTAACCTCAAATTGATTGCTTGTCCACTCTGTATGATGCCACCTCTGTGGATCATCTTCACCTCTCTTTTTCCCATGTATTCTAATGAGTCAGGCAAATGGGACTTGCTTCTTGTGTATTACATATAACATATCCATCTGAATAATAAAGGGTATTAACAAAATTGTTTCTAAACCTCCCTCCATCTGTGGCATTGTGTGTTCCCATAACCACATTCTGGTGGCTACCATTTTAGAATGGCATGAAGTATATAATTACAGAGCAGATTTGGACAATGTTGATGGAAACATTATCGCTATCGAGTGTAATGCTGTTTTCTTTGGTCTCATGCAGCCTTCTCTGTAAGATTGTTACTTCTCCCGCCAAGTCAGTTCCCTGAAATCTGTTAGAAAACTAAACACAGGCCTGTATCCTTGTGGCAGTGGCTGCCAAACATACAGTTCCTGCTGTCTAGTTGGTGACATGCTGATCAACCTTTGATCTTCTAAATGACTGCATCTCAGCAGAGACTCAAGGGGATGTTTTCAAAGAAGACAGTGTGTGTTCACCGTTTTCAAGTAGACAGGGGGTGGTCATTCAAGTCATCACTCCTGATATTCCCTGGGGTACATGTGGTTTTTGAATAGTAACTAAAAGCTACTTGGACACTTTGAAGAACCATATCCCTGACTTCAGTCTGGAACTCCTGTCTGAAACTGCAACTTGAGTTTAAAAGGCTTAAGTTGTGGGTGTGTTCCCTCTTCATGAGAAGCAGTTTGTGATTCATTTATTCAGTTGCATTGTAAATGGGCATTTATGGAGCACCTGCTCAGGGCTAGGGATTATATTAAAGCTGAACTTTTCATTAAGAAAAAAAAAAGAATCCTCAGTACAACGTGTGAAGTAGATATATAGGTAAACAAATAGCGAAAATGCTGACGACAGAAATGGCATCACTTGAGTGCCTAGAGAATGTTCTAGAAGAGCAGAAAGAAGGGAACCACTAAGAGTTTGGGAGTAAGTGAGGAAAAATAATCCCTCCGAAGTTATTTTGGAGTATAGTCTTGATTGTAACAACTTTATTTGAAAGAAAAGGGGGAGGTATTTGAGGGCAGGAGAACAAAAGCTGATAAGTTTGGGGACCTGCAAGTTCAGAGTGATTATGAGTTGCACAGGAGGAGGAAGGAGACAGTGAAAAGAGAATTTCAAAAGGAGTAAAATGGGCCATAATATGAATATTCATACACACCATGCAAAGGTATTTGGGTTATGTGAATAGAGAACCATTGAATGCTTTCACTGGAGAGTGATGTGGTCAGATTTGTTCTTCCACAAGATCACTCTGCTGACAGAACGATGGATTAGAGTGAGAAGGGCAAAGAAGCCCCTATGGATAGTCAAGTTACAGGTACAATTTTTCCATTTTGGTAAGAATGTATAAAAGAGTGAGAAGACCCCTCATTTTTCATAGCCTCTTTAAAAATATGAAAACCACGAGGATCAGATATGAAGATATGTGGAAATTTCATTAGGAAGTAATTACAGTGTTTATTTTCTTTGACTAGCATGGTTTTTTTTTAAAAAAATATATATCAGTATACCTTGACTTTGTAATGACTTAAATTTTATATAGCAGGAGCCACAGTCTGTCCTCTAGTTCCATGAAATATTTACCAACTCAGTCTTCAATTACAATGAGTTCCTCAGTTGTTAAAAGATACTATTTCTTATTGGAAGATTTTCACACCAGTTCTCCAGCCACTGAGAATGCTTATTTAATGTCAATGCTGTGTTCAAGAACTCCCAAACATCTATCAAGTATCACTGAGCCAGGTCAGAAGAATGAATGTGGACTGTTTTAAGACATGTCAAAGTGAATGAGTGTTTTATTAAGCTCTTCTATTTCTCATACAAGCCAGGGAAAAAAACAATGAGCAAGTCTTCAGTGTTGAGATGGGAAAATACAAAAACCATCCGGCTTCCTCCACTCATCACCATGGTTTCATCATTTATTACACAGTAAAACAAACATAGCCACTGACTATAATTCTTAATGAGCATATGTGACTCTGATAATATTTATCAGGTTTATTTGTTTGAGGCCAAATGAAATGAAAAGAAAATAGTGCAACATGGGGTCATTAGTCTCTTCTGACGTGTGCTCTAATTCTAAGGAAAACATTAGTGGCCTATTTATAGCCAAGTACCTTCAGCCACTGAAGCGATAATGGCCTGTGGAATAATCCCCGGGATGGAAAACAGAAATTCCCAGAATTAAACTTTCTTGCTCATCTGTTCTATGGTCATAGGAAATCTATCAGCACTGTCACTTCTCATCAACATGGAGAAATGTTTTACATCAGACCATTATGCAATTCTCCCCAACCAGACTGTCTTCACCTTCATTTCTGCTTAAGTCGGGGTCCTCCCAGCCAAAAGCAATGAAAAAGGTCACTTCCTCCAGGAAGCCCTTCCTACATCAACCCTATCATCCACAAATGTCATCATTTGTGCCTTATATATTACTGGCACTTACTTAATCTTTTATTATGTGTTTTTCCTTTGTTCAAAATAACTTAAAACTCATGTAGATGATATTTGCAAGACATTGTTCTAGGCCCCATGGTGATGGTGTCTGAAGAAAGTGACAGATAGATGGAGATGCAGTTTTTTTTTCCCCAGTAGTGCTACATAATCCAAGAGGAATGGTAATATACATCAGCAGGGTCAAAATGCAGTCCTCAGCCTCATTTCTCCTCAGCATGTGAGATAGATGCATCTCTGTTGCCAATTCTGGAACTCACCTCTAATTGACAAGAAGGTGTAGAAATGATAAGATGGCTGGAATCCACTCTGGTGGGGTGGGAGACAGGAGGATGTGGAAAGCAGTTTGAAAATGGTTAGTAGGCACTGATATTTGGTTCAAAGCAGGATCTTTGAAACAAAATGTGATATGGATTTATATGCAGGACCTTCCACTATCTATGCTATTTTTGAAGCTATGTAATTTTTTGAGCCAAATAAGATTAGTATTAATATTAAATTATTTTGTAAACTAACTGATGATATTGTCTAGGTTATAATAAGTTTACAAGAAAGGTTTTGTTTGCTTTTGTTATACTATTTTATGCTTCTGAGAGGGTATACCCTCACTTCTTCCTCTTCTGGAGGGAGGGTCCTTGCATTGAATTGTGAACTATTCCCCAAGAGAAAAATAGAAGAAAAGCAATTCTATGACTGGAGGAAGAAATCAGACAGCTTTCTGGAAAGGATACCGTGACAGATGGCTTTCAAGGGTTAATTATAATTGAAGGAAACAAGGATGGAGACAGAGACATCTAACCCTGAGCCAAATAATAAATAGAATAAAAGGAGTGCATTTAGCACATTTCTTTCTTGATATTTCAACATGAATTTCAGGCATTTGTTGGATATTCCCACCAGAAACAGTAAGCTTCTTAGAACAGGAATTTTATTTATTATCCCTGTAGAGAAACCAACGGTAAAGAAATAAATACTTCATTGATGATCTGAGACCCATATAGAAGTCAAACCTACAATTGGGAGGTTGATTGATACACTGTGAAATCAATCCCTCCTGCTTTGCATCTCAGGAAAAGAGGCTTGGGGAAAACAGGGGTGGATCAAGGGGAGTTGATTTCTACATGGTTTCATTTGTGTGAACCCCCATCCATACTCCCCAAAGCGCATGGCATGTGTAACAAGTGCTTCAAAATCATGAGAGTTTGGGTTTATTGATCTTTTGTAATTCTTTAGTTATTGGTAAAGTCTTTTATTTTAAAGATTTCCAACATGTTTTCAGCTAAGCAAAGCAGCAACTAAATGATGGTGTTTAAGGTGTGCAGAAGTTTCAAAGGAAAAGAGCAACCACAGAATGCCTGGGTGCGATAAAACTTATGATAAGTGCTACTCCAGGTAAAGGAAGGTGGACTCATTGGCTCATCACTGCTCCCCTGAGAAGATTCTTCTAGGGCTACCGGGTCCTGGGGTTCATTTTTCTGAAAAAGAAAAAATTCTTTCCATCAAGGTATCTTTGTAAGTGGTATAAGCTATTGAGAAAATAATGTTCAATAAATTGTGTTATACAAGGCTGTATAGCTGTGCAGATTTTACCTTTGAATACTGGCATTAAGGGTAGGAATAATGGTAGGGGGGAAAATGTATGTTTAAAATGTTCATTTTAAATATATGCTCTACAAATAAGATCATATTTATTGTCGAGAAAAACAAAATATTCAGAAAAGTATCAAGAATACAATAAGGTGTTCTCATAACCCATTGATTGAACATTCATTTATATTCTCCATTTTATAGACAGACACACACTTAAAGGGAAAAATAAGACATGCAAGATTACTGAAATTCTCGTGACTTGATTGGGTTTTTTTTTCAGTTAGTATATAATCTTACCAATAAGTATACTTCTAGCACATTCTTAATTTTTGTAATATTCTTGGTTCCTCTTTTATGCTATTCTTACTTCACCTTTGTAGTCTGATTTACTTAGTATACAGCAAGAGTGGGAGAATTAATTTTCTTCGGTGGAAAGCTGTACCTGCCCCTGTCTCAGGATGTCCACCTCTGCCCTGTGATTGGAACATGAATGGGCATGAAACAGTTTGGGTTCATAAACAACAACAGAGTCTAGAACAAGCAAGAATCAGAAGAGCATTTCTGTCTTCTCACTGGTATCTAATAATGTGAAGCTTGAAGTTTTCTTGGGTATCATGTGGCTGAGTTGGTGCTGGGTGGGGAAGTTGGGGAGCCTCTGAACCACAAAAGAAAGGATCCCTGCCATGTGCTTACAGGTTCCCATGTCTGGAGAGGCTTTCTGGAAAGACAGGGCCTCAAGGTCTTGTATAAAGTAGTTCTTGTTGTAATGGGAAAGATTTGACCTTGGAGGGGGCCAAACCTGGCTTTAAATCCCAGGCACAGGCACACTTAGCAGAAGTTATTTTCTCTTTAAACCTCAGTTTCAGGACCTGTGAAGCAGAGGCAAGAAGCCATCTCTACAACTTGTCAGAATTCAAAAAGTATATTCAAGAACAAAAGTGTTGTGAGATTTGAGTGTTGGGAGACAGACAGACACAATCACGAATGAGAAGACAGAAGGGGTGGGTAAGAGAATGAAAGAGGAATTACTGTATGGATGTCCCTGAACTCATACTCAGGGGAAATCAATTTCTCCTGCATAGGCTGCTCAAAGTTGGATGTGCACATGAACCACCTGGGGATCTTTTTAAAAAGTAGATTTTGATTAAGAGTTCTTGGATGAGCCCCCATCTCCTGGTGACATTGCTCTTCTGGTTTGTAAAACACTACAGATCATCCATGAAGACGAACCTCATCACTCTTATCTTTTATTCCTTGTAAGTTCCCCCTCAGTGCCCATTAAATGGGCCGTCACCTTGTGTTGCTTGCTGTATGAAGGAAAAGAGCTTAATTATGTAATTATGGGAGGTGCAGGGGTGCCCCAATCACCTTTGCTTTTCCTGTGAAGCTTAACTGCTGAGACCTTTACAAATAGAGCTGGCCTCAGAAGCCAGGAAGCATTGGTGGAGCCCTGGCCAAGGCCTGGGTGGAGGGATCCTCTAGAGGGAAGGTGGGAAATGAAATGCTCTTGGTGTCACCAATTCCCTCCATTGTTGGATGTTCACATCTCTTTGCACAGGAAACAGCTTCATCTGCAGTTTCCTCCTTGAATTTCTCCAGGAAGAGGAAATCACTCCTTGGAAGGAGGTAGGTAAGAAAGTGACTTATTTCCCATTTGCAAGCATTTTCCATGTGGACAGCATCCAGTCCCAAGGTTCTGAACCTTCGAGGTGTAATTAAAGAGCAATAGATTCAGCATCAGGGGAGATGGATGCCACCCAGCACTTGAAATCGGGGAGATGGATGCCACCCAGCACTTGAAATCACCTGCTCAAGTCCTTGGACAAGGTATCTCTCCTGCTGAGATTCCATTTTTCATCTGTAAAATACTGATTATCAAATAGCACAAGCTTTCCAATAACTTTCTTGTGACGAATAAGTGAGAAAATATCTGAAAGAACTTTAAAACATTATTGTACAATTGTAAAGGATTATGGAAACAAGACTACTAAGGCAGCTGAGCTATCCAATTTGCAACAGTAAAATAATGCCCAAGACCCTACAACCCAGTCAGATAGGCTCTAACTATACCTGAGAAGGGACAATGCAGAGAGAAAGGTGATAAGCTGCTCAGGAGATCTATTGTGCCCTCCATACCCCATGCTGCCTTATGTGGCATGGACACTCCTGGTCCAGGTACAGGATGCAGGTCAGACAGGGTCCACCAGAGTATAAACCCATATGATCGATCTGCTTGCACCTTGCACTATGCACTCCACATTTAGCTTGAAGTAAGCAAATCATCTTGCTTTAATAAAGCACATTTGAGCAAGAAGATGTGTCTTTCATATTGTTAATACAGATACAGACAAAGAAAATATTCACATCCCTCCTTTCTCAAAGAACTAGATCAAACTTAAAGGGCTGCCAGCTTCCTATTATTATTATTATTATTATTATTTTATTTGTACCAGGGAATTAACCTAGAGGTGCTTAACCACTGAGCCATGCCCCCAGCCCTTTTTATTTTTTATTTTGAGACAGGGTCTCATTAAGTTGTTTAGGGTCTCCCTAAATTGCTAAGGCTGGCTTTGAACTTGCAATCCTCCTGCCTCAGCCTCCTGAGCCACTCAGCCTCCTGAGCCTCATGTGCCACCATGCCTGGCTAATACCATTCTTTTTTAACACCTTGATCTAAATTAGCAAGTCTCATGCTCTCATCCTGAAGAAACTGGAGCACATGCTACTAATAGGTTTCTTGATATTTGGGGAGAAATAGGAAGAACTCAGAAACCACTTGACATCCAGAGCAGGAAGCCAGGGACAAGGCCTGCAGAGGTGTAGAAAGCAGGTGCTGGATAACCCTTTTTGTGTCTTTATCCACTTGGTCCAGTAATTAAATCTTCTATTAGACTTCACAAATAGCACATTTCTGACAGATAATGAAACTGATGATGCTGAAAATGAAGATTTCAGTGGCTAATCTCCAGGGACCTGTAGTAGAAATAATGAGGAAGTCCAAGGGTCAACTGCTGGACGAAAGAATGGTTCTTTGATTTAGCCATTAGATTTGGCCTAAAAATTAGTTGTCTTCTTAGTGTGCCTTTATTTATTTATTTGTTTACCTATTTATTGCAGTGCTGGGGATTGAACCCAGGGCCATACCCATGCTATGCAAGCATACTACCATTGTGATACACCCCCAGCCTCTTAGTGTTCATTTCTCTGACACCCACTAAGCAAGACACATATACATATTTCCCCCCTTGTTTTCTTCCCAGTCTTCTTAGTACTTGGTATTTCATATATTTAATATATTTAACTTTCTCTCTTCCATTACTCTAAAGAAAATGCCATGTACACATTGAATCATCTTTCCAGCACTTAACTATGGTCTGAAAGTAATAGATGCTCATTAAATATTTCTGAATGAAGGATGCCCTGTGTGATGTCTTGTTCACTGTTCCTAAACGCTTCCCCCACCTTATCATTTTAGATTCTTCTGCTTCTTTTCTTTGTTCTTTCTTCTTTAATATTTTTTCAATTTATTATTTTCCTGTATCATCCTCCTCCTCATCATCCTCATCACCACTATGCTCATCATATAAAATTATTTGCACTTCTATACATAGAGAATTTGAAGGCTAATAGGCCACCATGGTAACAGCCTCCTGGCAGTGCACCTCTCGGCACAAGAAGGGCCAGGAATTGCACTCTAAGCTGCACATTTCACAGATTCCTTCAGGAAGACTGAATGCTTTGTGAAATCCATTTCTCAGAGTATGTTTCTTTCCAGGGCATTTATGAAAAAGGACTAGGTTAGTTGGATAAAAGGCAAGTCACAAAATCACCTTTTTAGTGATTTCATATATCAGGGGCAAATGGCACGCTGGTGTTCCAACTCCTTGAATTGCCTAGTGACTTCTAAGTGGCAGGAAGCATGTTTCTCCAGTGTGAGAAATGTTGTCCCAGATGGGGAAGTATCTTTGGAAAATGTCTGACATATTATAGGCACTCAAAATTTTTGGAAGGAATGCATAGATGAAATCCCCATGACTGCTCCCTTTCTCTCTCCTATGTTGGTGGCTTGAATTTTGGGGATTTGTGGTAGAGTTAAGTACATGTCCATACTTTCTTCCTCTGAAGCCCAGCTGTCACTGTGTAGCCTCTGTCTTCCTGTACATAAAACATTCTCAATGCATCTGGAGACTCGAAGAAAGGACCCCGCCAGTCTGCACATGAAATTTGCAGCATTCAGCTTCTGCACCTGTGGGCTGAGCGATCTGGAATATATTTGCATTTCCCGGTCACAGTTGGAGCAGTGAGATTTGACCTTTAGAAGGCAGCGGTTTGTTGAGAGCCTGTTCTTAGTTCTTTTTAAATCATGTACACATTGCAAGAGCGGGACACCTCTGCCTACCGAAGGCTGAAGGAATGTGCCTCAAAGCCAAGTCTAGACAGAATTCCTAGGCAGGGGAATCAGTGGGGACAGGGGTAAAACACCACAGGGTCTATGCCAACTTTCTGTCCTGAAAATTTTACCATTTTTGTATTTCTGGATTTTAGCCAATATGAGAGAAAGAGGATTTCTGTGCCAAGAACGGCCATAACAAGCGGGTTGGGGTTTCCACTGGAGGTTAATTTAAATGTTCCACCTTCGTCCTCAGCTCCTCATTTGAAGTGCATTATGTTCCCCAAGGCAGCCCCACAGCCTCTGGTTTACTGAGGGGAGATGTTAGGGGAGGCCAAACTATTCTCTGTCATTTCTCAGTTTATAGACACCTGTAATCAATCACCAGATGAATGGGGATTTAGAAAAACAATTGAATTAGGAAAGTACTAATCCTAACTGTCAATGTGATGAGTAAAATAGAGAATAAAAATGAAGGAAACAGGCAAGATCATTCTGTTTCAGTTTCTGCAGATGCTCAAGACAGATTAACAACTCAAGGCTGAGCCAGCTTTGAGCAACACAGCTGGCACCCCATTAAAGCTGGCACCCCAAACCCTTGTGTGCTCCATTCTTTTGTTTTTAAACTGTTTATCCCATCCATTGTAAACTCCATGGATTGAGAAAAGCATTCTCCAAGCACCAAGTATCTGATTCTTTTTTATTTAGAGCCTGCTCTCTCTCAGTTTGCCATGAAATTTTGCTGATTTTTCCTACCTATTCCATTCCTACGCATCTACACTGCTATCGATCTGTGGGAGTTTCTACCATCCTTCACCTGGACCTTCTTCCCCCTCTCCTCTCCTTTCATTAAGTTCTCCACCCTAGACCTACTCTCAACTCCATTCCCCAATTTCATCCAGCGCCAAGGATCTACCAAATATATCTGAGCTTGCGCTTTCCTGTCTAACATGCTAATTTTTGATCATATTAGATAGTTTATGGTCTACTCACTAACCTGCTGGATTGTGACTTTGTACCTTTGCCCTTGTTTTGTTCACTTTCTGGGAATTCCCCACTTGCTTCACTTGGATTCATATCTCAAGATGTGAAGAAGATAGTATCTCCTAGAATTCTTCTCAAATGCATTGCCTGGGGCCAAAGGCCTCTTCCCACTGTATACTCAGAACTTCCCATGTAATTTTTGAAATTACCTAATGATATCTCTTTCCTAAACTCTCAGATCCTAAACAGTAGGATTGTACCTACAGTGCCTGGCCTGATACTTGGAACACAATAGGCATTCCAGAAATCTTTTTTTTTTTGAAAGGAAGTGATCAATCTCACTTTCCCTCAAACCATTGTTCTTGGTGTTGATCCCTTAACTCATTTGACTTCCTGTCTTAACAGTGGTATAGACCATTCCTTCATCAGTACTGCCCCTTATGTCCTGGTGAACACGCCCCTCCAATACTGAAATCCAGGGGATTCTCTCAGCGGTGGTTGTGGGGCTCAGTCCTGGGTTTCCAGCTCTGAGTTCTCTCAGTGACCTCTCTGTAGTTTTAAGAAAATTTTTAAATGATGATTAAAATACAGAATGACTTTGAAACTAAGTGTGGTGGGCTGAAGATAAATCACTATTAAATTTTAAAAAGCATCCCAGAATAGAGAGAAACAAGAGTACCTGTAAAAGGTCATAACCTTATGGCATTTCCTGGATATAAAGTTTGGTCCTAGTTGAAAGGTAAGTAGCCCTAGTGCCTAGAGTTACTAAATCAGTATTTGTTTCTGGAATCCAGCTGAATTAGCATCATGAGGGGGCTTATAGAAAAGCTAATACCCAGGTACAACCCCAAAGATTCTGATTTAAGTGGTCCAGGTATAGAAACCTAGTATTGGGATATTATATAGAACCCCACTGCTCTAAGATGGTTCAAACATGTAGAACTGAGAAAGTTTGGTCTACAAGAAGCCTCTGTCCATTAGGCTTTGTGAAACCCCATATCCCAAATCCCTAGCTCAGAGCTAGTTCTTTTTCACTGTGGCCTTAATGACAGCAGATTCCACAAAAGTTTAGGTAATTTCTCTTGAGCACAGATTTAAATGATTTCTCCAAGTGGGATTTTACTCTGAGAGGAATTTGTTGAAAAGAGAAACACACTGACCAAGGATGGCATGTATGTTTTGTAACAGTTAATTTAAACACTGATGCACGCATAAATACATTCCCAAAGCAAGTGTACCTTGCTGTGTGTAC